AGTTAAAAAGAAATATCCTGTCATTATTACCATGCAAAGGCGAAAGGACCCAAATGAGAGACATTGACAGACAAAATGGCTGGATATGTGAAAGAGAAAGAGAGAGAGGGAGAGAGAGAGACAGACACACCGATAGACAGACAAACAGAGAGACAGAGGGAGAGAGCAAGGGAGTCATTGGCGGGGGTGGGGGGCTCTGATCGTAGACAGGAAAAATGACGAGAAAGGACGAGACACAGAGAGAGGGGGAAAAGAGAGAGAGAGAGAGAGAGAGAGAAACAGAGTGAGAGAGAGAGAGAGAGAGAGAGAGAGAGAATTGAGAGAGAGAGAGAGAGAGAAAGCATGGGTGTATTTTTTTCTTGTGGGAGAGGGGGCGGGCTCTAATCATAGCTTGAAGATGCTCCTAGAATATCTTATTTTTCGAAAACAATTCTCGGAGAGCTGGTAGCGCCCTCGTTGTGCTTAGTTTGCTCGCCAGCCTTAACCCCCCCCCCCCCCCAGTAAAAGCTGAAATGACGCCCCTGAGAGAGAGAAAGGACGAGACAGAGACAGAGAGAGAGAGAGAGAGAGAGAGAGAGAGGTGAGGGGAAGGGAAAGCTAGAGAGAGAGGGGGGGGAGCTAGAGAGAGAGAGAGAATGAGAGATAGAGCGTTAGAGAGAGAGGACAAGCGAGAGAGAGTGTGTGAGGGAGAGAGAGAATGAGAGACTGAGAAATAAAGAAAGAGACGGAGAGAGAAATGGGAGAAAGAGAGAGAGGACAAGAGAGAAATATAGAGGGGGAGAGAGACTACAAGTGAAAGATAGAGAGGGGAGAGAGAGAGTCGCTGGCCAAGTTGAGCAGTCATTGTTGATACATGAGTACTGTGTGGAATGAGGTGTTCGATAGTTTTTCCCTAACTCGCTCTATGCCTGGCAGTGTATGCACCAGCCAATCAGCATATATGAGGGCTAATGACGTCATTAACCAAAGTCCAGAGCGTTGGAATTAATACTCTACCAAAGATCGCCTTATAGTCTAGCTTGCCCCCCCCCCCCCCCCACGCTGAGATATAATTTTTCCACACGCATTTCCTGACAGGGAAATTTCATTAATTTTGATAACCACTTCGTTAACACCTTTTCATTACCTTAGTGCCACTATTAATCATCACCAGACCTCAGCACATGAAATAAATTACATAAGACCGACCTCTAAGCACTTATGCGACGATCACATTGGTTGGAAATGGCAATTTTGCGATCAAGAGTTGAGCTTACAATATGAAAGTAAGCGATATCTTTTATATACTGCTAACTCGAATATTTTTTTTCTTGCCCACAGTTTGTTTCCTTACATCAGGACACAATACTCATAGATGATCGAAATATGAAAAACTGTGTGTATAACTTGATTCAACGTAATTCAACTTTATAAAATAAAATCAAACGGAGGTCACAATAAGGATACGCCTAATGATACGGTGCTTTGACTATTCATCAAAAGTAAAAACGGCTAGTCTGATCGTTCCCACTGAGAACATAAAGCAGTATTTATCAGTCACCAGGAACTCTGGCCGTCGCCGTTTTCAATATAGTCAGCTAGAGCGTCCCTGCTGCAATTAATATCTTCTAAATACTGCTAGCATTTTATTGTTAAAAGAATTCTCATAGTCATAGGTTTAATATTTCTATTGTACGAGTATATTGTACAAATGGTAAAAAAATGTAAGAATGAAATCAAAGCTTAATTATGCAGCTATCGATGAT